CATTCAGAGAGAGGGGATATTTCCCCATTCCAAGTTTGATTTTAAATTAAATATCAATTCATACGCATCATCGAAACAAACGCGTTCTTCAATGACAAAAAAATTCACAAGATAAAACTCCACCCGATCTGAGCTAGATGGTATTGTATTGTTGGCGGATATTGCACGGATTTTGAAGAAGGGACAATTTTATTGTTTTTCTTTTAATACGATAATATTACCGTTCTGGGACTTAATTAAGGAAAACATTACTTACAATACTATAATTCATTTCATCATATTTATCATTTTTTAACATTATATTTGAGAGTCGTCCATCATTGTTGGCATTTTTCTGGTAGGGTGAGTACACTGTTGAGGATGTTTTCTGGTGGCTCACGGTATTGTTGTGTAATGATCAATAGGGCATTCCCGTTTAGGAAAGTGCCGACAATTTTATTTTTTGCTGCACTTTCATGAAGTGGCGGCGCCAGCGGGTGGGAGGGGCCCCTTCATCGGTTGGGTCAAGCCCCCACCCCCAATCGGCCAAAGCTCGTCAGGCAGTCGGACCAAAAAAAAAACCCAAATTTGGCCATTTCCGGCCATCTAGAAGTCCCAATTTTTTAAAATCTTGTTTTGGGAGGAGGGGACATCCCCTTTCATACCCACCTCCGGCTCGGGTCTTCTGGCCAAACGCTGCGCACTATAGTTACACCCATAAATACTTCTTAGCCCCCCCCCCCCCTAGACATGAAGTGAAGTATTTAAGGATTAAAATGTCTGTAAATCAGCGCATGTTTTTCGATTTATTTCTGATGAAAGTTATTTTTTTAAATTATATTTATGTATCTATTCGTTATAAAAGTCTTAAAATGCAAAAAAAGATGAGAACTTCTTGAGTTTACATATAAACCTCGTGAGATTCCATAAAAAGATGCCTACCAAACAGAAAACAGACAGACACAAGCAAAATACTATACAATCAAAAATATAAAAATAATAATAATAATAATAATAATAATAATAATAATAATAATAATAATAATAATAATAATAATAATAATAATAATAATATTAATAACAACATTATTTTAAAACGAAAAAAACTTGTATCACCATATTGGTGTTTTTTCACAAGGCCGCAAGAAGATAAAAATGAAATTAATAAAACTAAAAAAAGAAACACAACCAAAAAACATACATATTGAAATACATACTAAGCAAAGATAAGTAAACTAAAATAGAAAAAAAAGACTAAAAAGTGATGTCATGACAAGTGTATTGTTCATTTTTCAAAATATTTCATCCTGCCAGTTATTTATTAGTCTGTTAAAGTATGAGGAGCAGATGTTGCAAAATTATTTAGGTTATTCCAGATTTCTGCCCCATGATACGAAAAACCTCTTTTTTCTTATATTCAGTCTAAGCGTAAAATGTCATTTGACCTTGTTTCATATATGTTCACGTTCATGAAACCGGTTTCTTAAGTAGGATGGTGCTAAATTATTCATTTTCTTATACATTGTACAGCTTCGCTGATATACCTTTTTTCCCCCTAAGTTTGGCCAATTTAAGTCTTTTAGTGCCTGTGAACTGGATATTTAGGGGGAAAATTTCATTGCATTTTTTTAGGTAGTAGATTCCAGATAGTATTTTATTTTTTACATGCTCAATTTGTTTATGACACTTTAAATTTTCATCAATGATGACACCTAAATGCGTATATTGATTGACCTTTGGTAGTTTTGAACCATCTATATAATAATTATTTAGATCCATGTTAGTCAGCTTGTTTAATTTTTGAGGAGTTCCAGAATCATATATTCTGTTTTTGAAACATTTAAACTTAATTTGTTAGTTGCTAACCATACTTTCACATTGTTAATATCATCATTTAATTTGTTAATAACATAGTTTATGTCTTTTGCAGCCTAATATAAGGCAGTATCGTCAGCGTACATACTTACTCTCGCATTAAACACAGATTTTGGTAAATCATTAACATAAAGAATAAAAAGTGGTCCGAGTATTGATCCTTGTGGTATACCACAAAGACTATTGCACTGCATAAAGTTGACATTATTGATATTAATAGTATGTGTACGATTAGTTAAATAACAGTAAAGTTAAGGAAATAACTAATTATAAAAAAGAAGTATTTTCAGTTATATAAAAATATAATAATTATATGGATATAATTATAATTATTTTAATTTAAGAGAAGCTAACCTTCTGTTAGGGTCACGTGTGCCTTGAAGTTGTTGAGATCATACCTTTCACCGAATACGTGTGATTCGTACGGACCCGCCAACTCGTAGTTCTCGCACCTCAACAACCTCAAGTCTTTTGACAAACTTTCCGATCGGTGCAAATTGTGGTTTAGCGAAAACTGAACCCTCTTCTTGCGATTTTTCATGTACACGCATACTTTTTTATACAGTATTTGTGTGACTTCGTGGTTCATATTGCTCGTTATGTCGCTAACGGTTCGATCGGCTTTTTAAATAATCCCATGGTTTGGAGATAGCTGTGGGTTAGCATCATTAATTACACTGGGTCTACCAAACTAGGCCGAACCTAGTTACTGTGCCAGATGGATAAAAATAAAATCGGAGTTTATTATTTTGATGTCACTGTACATCACTATAACAACAAAATCTCTACGATTCGCGCGCGTCGGTAACTACGCTCCAACTAGACGCTTGAAACCAAGGAAACAGAAACGGAACGCGCGTAGTTTTCTTTGACAAAAGTCTGTTGTATGCCCATATTAAGCAATTAGTAGAGCTCCGCATAGTACACTATAGGAAATTTATTATACGAAGGTTAGATTTGGTAGTTGCTAAATACTGTACAACGGGTTCAGCCGAGGGACGTGGCTTCGTATGTTGACGTCATGCATAATAGTTGTCAGCTATAGTTGTCTTTCAGTTATAGTTCGTCCTCGACATAGAGTAGGCCCAGTCTTTTATCACACACCATGATCATGTAGCGTAGCAAAACACAGCAACTCCATGGTACAACCAATGTAAGAAAAAATAAGTTGTCCCTGTGTAATTTACAGAGTGAAATAATACATAGGCCTCTTAGTCTTATTTTAGTTGTAGGAATTAAGCCGTAATTACAGAAAAAAATGAAAACAATTCAATGACCTATCTACTAGTACTACAATACTGTACTTAGTCTGTGGATTTTCCAACATAATCCCATGAACAAATTATCTTACTGAAAGAGAAAATGAGCCTAATAAATTGAAATTACAACTTCTTTTAAAACATAACTGCTGAAGTTAAGATTTATTACTTTTTAATGTTTCACAAAATTGCCGGCTATATTACTCAAAAAGAGAAGGGGAACAGAAAGTTAAATATTTAATTAAATTAAATATATTAACCTTCCAATGTCTGTATTGCAATTTGTATTGTATAAAGTAATGTATTAAATAACGATTAGGCCTATTCTTTAGTAGCCTATAGGGCCAAATTCTGCATAGGCCTAAAGGCCTAGACAGTGGCTGCTCTGGGATACATTTTTTCGGGGGTCGGGGGGGGGGGCTAAGCTGTCCAGCAGGGAGATTGAGCTCGTATGCCTGAAGAGGGGGTTTAGGAGATGAGATTTTTCTAAAAATAGGGAGCTCTGGATGGCCGGAAATGGCACTTAGCAGTGTGAAAGACATAGTTTGGCTTGGTGTAGGCCTATATTTAATTTTTTTTTTTGTCGGTCCGACTGCCCAGCGAGCTCGGCCGGGGATCCAATTGACTTGTCCGATGGGGTTGGGGATTTAGCTCCATTGTCCCCCGGCCCCGCCGCTTCTAGACAGACTGCTGCAGGTTGCTGAAGCACTTATCTAGGACTATACTTTGCCTAGGCTTCAGACTACTCAAGAGGCCTGCATTAAATCTAACCTAAGTATAATAATTTTCTTTTAGTGTACCATGCATGCTCTACTAATTGATTTATAAGTCAATCACCGTCTTTCAATTTTAGTTTTTGATAACCAACTAGTGTAGCAGCCATCGGTTGCTACAGTGAAGATCAGTAACTGAGTGCGTATTTACATTTAGCTGTGCGTATGCTGATCTGTGTTCCTGAGTACGTACGCGTTAACTACACATTAACAGTAGGCCTACATACAGTACGAATACGATGAATAACTATTGTAATTGTGTTAGAAAGAACTTGTTTGTCATGCTATTTTGATAGACATTCGTCAAAGAAATAAACATTTCAGCATTCGAGAGAGAATACAGTCACTGACGTTTTTGGTCGGTGCATGCAGACAGGTAAAAATCGTGCGATGATTTCATAACTAGGCTAGGCTACGAATAGGTCTAGAATATTCCTATTAAACGTTCAGTTTGTTTTGTGTATGAGGGTCCATTAATTCAATGAATTCTTTATTTGTTCTTACTTAATATAGAATTTGAAGGAACTTTCTTCGGGTCCTCCATAAGCTGGTTTTACGAATTTTCAATACAATTCAATTTTCATCGCGGTGCGCGATGTCTCCGCGGTGACGAAAAAATGAGGATATTTTTTGCACACCAACCTAAAAATACTTTAACTAATGCCATAGAAAAATTCTTTCCGGTCAAAGTGGCTGCATTACACATCAAGGATAAACCATGGATTACTAGTGCCCTTAAAGAGGCAATTTTATTGCGCCAACATTTCTTTGCTACTGAAGGAAAATCAGCCAATTGGCGACATTATAGAAACAAAGTCAACAAACCTGTTCAATCTGGCAAGAAGCATTTTTACAAGAATCGTGTTAGTCTTTTTAAATCATCTGACCCGGCCAAATGGCATAAGGGAATACAGCTTATTGCAAACCAACTCCGTCAACCACCACTTATCGATGTTCATGGGATACCTGCATCAAATGTGCAAGCAATTTCCGAAGCATATTAGTTGAAAATTTGCTGATCATGTTCAATCTTTACCCCCTATCGACTTAAGTAAACTGTCATGCTACTTACCTGCTAATCGCCCTCCTGAAGTTACATTATGGGATGTATATCTTAAGCTTTCACGAGTATGTGCCCAGTAAATCTGTTGGTCCCGATAAGGAACCCAACAAACTTATCAAAACTTTTGCTTGCGAACTCGCTACCGTATATCTTTCACTGACATTTTGAATTCGTCGTTTAAGGAAGGCATTGTACCTTCACCATGGAAAGACGCAATAGTTGTCCCTTTTCCGAAGGAAACACCAGCTACAATTGACAAACTCAGACCAATATCACTGACCTCCCAGTTCGCCAAGATTGCTGAGGAATTTATTTACGAATGGCTCCTTAATGATATCCATTCAAATCTTAATCCTTTTCAATTTGGATGTCTCAAAGGGACATCAGCTACTCATTATTTAATCGAAATGTTAGATTTATTATATAAGTCATATGATTCAGGCTCTTCCATAGGAACACTTGTACTAACCGAATTTTCTAAAGCCTTCGATCATATCGACCATACTGTTGCTGTAAACAATATTCTGTTTACCTTAGGAACTAGGCCTGAAATCATACTTTGGATAATTGATTTTGTCTCGTCTAGAAGACAGAGGGTACATTATCATTCCAAGTTGTCTGATTGGCAAACTGTTCAATGTGGTGTGCACAAGGCACCAAATTAGGCCCTATTATTTTTCTTGCTACCATTAACAGTGCATGTAATAATAGTAATGGTTTGAATTACATTATGTATGTTGATGACATCAGCTTGGTCGAGGTGCATAATAAGAATGAACCATCACTAAGCAAACCCATGTAAGTGACCTTGTTAAGTGGAGTGATACTAGCAAATTTAATTTAAACCCTACCAAATGCAAGACAATGCAGATTTGCTTTCTTTATTCCCCTCCTAACCCACCTGTAATTTCACTTGATCATATCTCATTAGATATTGTTAATGAGGCGAAAATCCTTGGAGTTATGGTCCAGAATAATCTTAAGTGGGAGACCCACATCCTGGAGATTGTTTTAAAAGGGAGCCGCAGGATTCATATGCTCCGTCGACTCAAAAAGTCTGGAGTTCCTAAGGATGATTTGGTCAAGGTTTATACGACATATGTCCGCCCATGTGTTGAATATTGTGTCCCAGTTTGGCACTCATCCCTCACTATTAAACAATCTAATGCAATAGAATCTATTCAAAAGCCGTGAAACTCATTCTTGGTGTACCTTACCTTAGCAGTTATACATGGGCACTCTTTCAGTGTAATCTCTCTAAACTCTCTGTGAGAAGAGATGCTATATGTCATACTTTTGCTCTTAACTGCTTTCGCTCTAAACGTTTCAATAAATGGTTCGCCCATAATCAATCTACACATCACATCATGCCACTTTGAAATCACCGCAAATTTGAAAACCCTCTATGCTTCACTAAAAGATACAAGAGTAGTGCTATCCCCTTCCTCACCAACCTCATCAACCAGTGACTCACTCTTCTTCTGACCTTTTTTATGTAATATGTAAAACTGATTTTTACGATTTTAATGCCCTTTTATATTGTGAAATGTGACTGAATTTTTTTAATGGTGTTTTTTTGATGTTCTTATTTTGTGAATTTGTGACTGAATTGTTTTTTATCGTATTTTTGATGTTCTTTTTTCTTGACCGATTTTTCTATTTTGATTTTATTGGACTTTGTACTTGAACTTTTTGTATTGTATTTTTTATGCTTGATGTATTGTGTACCTTTGCTGTAAATCTGTACTCCAATTCAGGCCTTTGGGCTGCTATTGTACTTTTTGTGGTTTTTTGAAATAAAGAATTGAAAATACATTGGGAGTTGCAGTGATGACGTCACGATTGACTTTACTGTATTAGGCATGTCACATGGTAATAATAATAATAATAATAATAATAATAATAATAATAATAATAATAATAATAATAATAATAATAATAATAATAATAATAATTTTGTGAACACAATTTGATAGCCTGGACAGAACCTGACGCCCTGGTGAGCAAAAGATACATCCTTTCATTTCACTTGAAATGTAGACCACAACAACATTTGGAAGCACTATAATCATTTTTGCTCAGTTGCTTATTTTGGCACCCTTTCAGTTAGGCGGCTGGGCACGTGTCTTCTTCTGTACCCTTAATCTCAGTTCACAATATCCTTCTAATTTTGTGTGACACATTTGCGAGTCGAATGGCTGAGCGGTTAAGACAGGGGAATCAACATCGTTAGTAAGTACACACATACTGTTTAATGCAGGTTCAATCTGTCACATTCACTTGAGAAAGGCATGTAGCTACTGTTTTCCGTCCCTCAAGCTCTTAACGATTATGAAACATTAAACATTAAATACAAATCTCTTATTGACAAGATCAGATTGGGTTGTGGTAATGTTTCATTCCATCTTCCATGTTCCGTTGCATTATATACTGTTAGCCTTCATTA